AAAAAAAAAAAAAAAAAAAAAGAATGCTCACAACTAGACTTCATTTCCCAAGTTGATAGGGTGGGGACCAGGAATCTAGGTCATTGATGGTCAAGAATCACATTTTGAGAAATTGCATATCTCGGCTGCTTGTCTTGAATTTACAACAGAGATTATAGAAACAGGGTTTTACCTGTTAGACATCAGTTTCTTTAGTTATATGGACAAAGATGTCTGGAGATGGCTAGTTTCCCAAGGTGAGAAGAAAAACGGATTAGGTGAACCTAATTGAGTATAAAGTCTGCTTAATGGAAAAGCTGCACACTTCCTTTGGTCAAATGTAGGGGGCTTCCATTTTCCTGTTTTTTAAATTTGCTGGGTTTTCTATATACATGTCTTGTTTCTTTAGGCAAATATTTATGTGGGTGGCATTAAAATGTCTGGTAAAAAATATAAGGCAGTTTAAATTTTCATGAATGAATTTATTTTCCTATTTTACAAGATTCTACTGTTCTTTCTATTCATACCTGGTTAGGTTTATCTGCAAAGGGATCAGTGTGCCTTTTGGAACTATGACACAACCTGGCTTTTTCCTGTCTTGAGGTTACTTATTCATGTTTTTGTATTTTTCGGACTTTGTCAGGTCTTCTACAATCAGCAGCCCATGGGGTAGGAGGCCAGGCCACTTTGCAAAAGCTTTGTTGAATCGTATTGTCATATAAGTTGAGTATCCCTAATGCAGAAATCTGAAATGCTCCAAGATATGAAACTTTCTGAGCTTCATAAAATTCAAAGGAAATGCTCATTAGCATTTCACAGTTTTGGATTTTCAGATTAGGGATGCCGAATATAATATGGATATTTCAAAATCCAAAAAACAAAATCCAAAACATTGCTGGTCCCAAGCATTTCAGATAAGAAATACTCAGCCAGTAGTGCATTCAAACCCAAATGAGAAATGGGTCCCAAAACTCTGTTTAACTTAGAATTTTTAAAATTGAAAATGTGAAAACAGTAGGTCTGGCTTATAACATTCTACTATGGAAAATACTGGATTTAAAGTTTAACATAGAATTTTTAAAATTGAAAATGTGAAAACAGTAGATATGGCTTATAACATTCTACTATGGAAAATACTGGATTTTAAGTATACCTATTAAATCTATACTTTAATGTTTGGAACTCTTCATTTTTTTTACTCTTGATTCTTTTTTTTCCTTTAGGTTTCTCAGTTTGGGTGCAGGTCATTTGCTTTGCTTTTTGATGATATTGACCATAATATGTGTGCAGCAGACAAAGAGGTATTCAGTTCTTTTGCTCATGCCCAGGTCTCCATCACAAATGAAATCTATCAGTACCTAGGAGAGCCAGAAACTTTCCTCTTCTGTCCCACAGGTATTGTATATAATGGCTTTATATTTAACTAGTCTTTTTGGAATGTATAACTTATAAAGCTTGATCATGGGCCCCATTCTCTCTCCATTTTCCTCCTTCCTTGGTGTATAAAAGTAGGAATCCTTTTTCTAGAAGACATTTTTCAAGATCCTAAATTGGAGAAATTTTAGGAACTAATAAATGACAACTGACTAGACAAAAGATTTTTATATATTTTTTAGTACTGGAAGTAATGTGATGAACATACATTGTCAGTATTAAAAGAAGGATAGTCCATCCATGATGAAACCCCATCTCTAAAAAATATGAAAATTAGCTGGG